TTGCTCAAACAACATCTGATCATGAAACGGACTACGCGAGCACGTCTGGAATGTCGAATTCTCCAAGGGATGACACTCATATCGCTGTCTTTGTGCACAAATAATTGACACGTAAATTGAGACATTTAAATTAAAAATAAAAAAAATAAATTGAACCTTCATTTCCTTGCACAGCAAGCCATCGCCATATCTCATTCATGCCCATGTCTCCACCTCCCTTGCCATCCAATGAAAGTTTATCACCTCATTGCAAATAATATAAAAAAATAAAATAAAATAAAATTCTTTTACTAATCTAACCGCTCGCCCGGTATCTCCTCTCCCTCACGCTCCCTCACGCCTACCTACCCAAGGCAGCTGGCTTCCTCAATCCCAAAGATTCCCCTCCTTCTCTTCTCTCACAAACCACAGACCGCCTGCCCTCTTTTTTCATTCCTCTCCCTGTCGGCGTAAACTTCTCCTCTATCAAACCAAAACTCGGCTCTCCTTGGTCAACCCATTTCCTCACCACCGGCCAATTTGCTCCTTCAACTCTCATCGGCAAGCTCTTACCCACGCCACTTACCTCCTCACTTCTCTCCCAGTGTGCCCACCTCACCACTCCGGCGAAGCTAGCGACTGAGCCTCCCGTCTCTTGTCCTCCTCCGCACTGCTCGAGGCCTGAAACCAGCAGCCACCTCTTCGTGGAAATCCCAAAGCCCACATCACTACCTCTCCTAAGCTACCTCTCCAAACGCTTTCTTCCGGTACCCTCTCTTCCTCTCTGGTTCACTCACTCAAAAAACCACACAAATTTTCCTCTCATCTCTGGGTCTCCCCCAAACTCTGGTTTCGTGCACAGCACACCTGTGACTTTCAGTCCTCTTCCATTTTGGTTCACGCATTCAGACATCCTAAGCCGTTGTACTGCTTCAAGTTTCCCACCTGCTTGATCACTGTTCACACAGCAAGCTACTCTCCATCATGCTTCTCCCCTCAATACTTGCTCTCCCGCCGGCTAGCTACCTCAGCCACTCCTTCCCTTTCTCGTTTCCACGCACAGCCAAAATTCCCTATTTTCTTATTTTTCACCGCAACATCCTATCTCTTCTCTGTCCTTGCAGCACCTCATTCGGGATTAAGGTAAAGAAAGGGAGAATTATGGTAAAAGAGCATGAAAGATTAGATGCTCGCGGATTTTCTACTCAATTCAGTATAACTTTATATGTTGTAAGGTTCAAGTTGATGGTTATTGCAGTTTAAGTATATCATCCCGTAGAGCTTAGGCTAGAGTTTGTGTTGTGTGGATGGGAAATATATACAAGGTTGTAAAAGGGGAGTGCAATGCATGTTATGTCACAAAATTTATGCATGTTCGCCTAATTCTTCGTCGCCACACGAAAGACATAACACTTACAACTCCCGAGACTTCTATAGCGAAGCATTTGGCACATCGAGTGGAACCCTATACATATTTTTCTTAGTGTGGTGGGGCGAAACTCATACGCTGCACTTGCGATGCGGTGGGCAAATCAAAATGCTTCTGAAATGTTTATTTCGACTAGTTTCACAAGTCGAAGGGAGCCATGCATGCTTTTCTTATTGTGATGGGGTAATGCTCGCACACGACGATCAAGACGCAATAGACAATTCTAAATTAAGTACCCATATGAGTTTTTCTTGGTGCGACGGGGAAATATGTTGCAGGCGCCTGAGAATGCACGGGCGACCTCCATACACACTTTTCTTAGTGTGACAAGGGATCCTATTGCATTCTTGAAGACTTGTACATGCAATTCTTTGCGTGGCAGGGTACATGCATTTCATCGCCACCGAATTCACAACCCTAAATACATGAGTGGACATAAGGCAAAATTAAGGGTTTAAATGAAAATATTTGCGTGCATCTTATTAATAATATTCATGTGCAAATAACAATAAAACCCCCTTAAAATCAGTCAAAAAATGGCAAACGATAAATATTAAATTCCCGCATGTGCTACAACCAATGTGTTGAACGTTCGATCATAAGGTCCAAGAATGCTACACAGATTAAACAAATGCTTAAGCTCAAACTAATCTGGTCGGAAATACGTGCAAAACTATTTAAAGATCTCAACCTAATAAAATTAAAATACCTACATTTGTTTTGACGTGCCTTTAAATATTCAAGCTTATGCATTTGAAAATGTTGCGAGAGCAATGAGCCACTTTACCTATAGGGCGAGATTGTGAGTCCCACGCTTTGGCAAATCCGATTCTCCTCTCTACAATGACTGAAATTGACAAGACTAAGCCCCAGCTGAGCTAGTTTGACCATTCTCTTCACGAGGACTAAAGTTGATAGGACTAATGCTCTTAATGATGTTTAAGCAATTATTCCTCCGAGGATCTTGTACGGTAAAACAAATGCTTAAGCTCAAACTATACACCTCAAAATGTGTGTCAAGCTATTTAAAAATATATGCAAACCTACAATATAAAATGTCCACATGTGCTCGAACGTGTCTTTAAATATTCAAGTTTATGCGTCTGAGAATGTTGCGCAGGCAATGGGCCGCCTTGCCAACAGGGCAAGGTCGTAAGTCCTACAATTTGGTCAATCTAATCCTCCTTACATGGACCAAAGTTGACAAGACTGAGCCCTCGCTTAGCCAGTCTGATCCTCCTCCTCATGAAGAATGGAGTTCACAAGACCAGTGCTCTTAATGATATATAAATTTCATTCGGTCCCTAATGATAGCCGAGTTGACTAAAGATTTCAACCAGAGGGGTATATTTTCAAAATTAAAACTTAAACTCTACTTCTAAAACTCAAATGATATATATGCTATGAACCTGATCCTCTGTGTGGGACAGAGTTGAAAGGGTTCAAAAACAACAATCCCCAATGATGACTGTGTTGATCATATATTTCAGTCGTAGGTGTCTATTTATAATATATATCTATATATATTTATATAATAAGATCATTATTAACTGCTACTGATTAAAAACTAGCTGCAGTGACAGATTTAACATAACTAATCCCATAACTTTTGTTATTCATAAATCCATTGAACCTCCGCAATCGTTTGTCGAGGTAGGCAAATCAAATAGTGACTCAAGCTCACAAAAGCCAAAGTCATATCAAATATACTACTAAATTTAAACTCAAAACAATCTCATGTCAGTAACGATGTGGTTCGAGTATAGTGTCCGCATGGTTTCACCGCTAAATAGCACCACAAAGAAGTGGGTACGACCAGAGTCCTCTGACCGAATAGTTTGCCGACAAATGAAACCATTATATTACGATCAAGGTTGTAGCCCGTGTGTTCATCAATGACAATCTGTCCTTTTGAGTATTGAATCCTAGAGCATATTTGATAAGGCAGAAGCCCTTTGTAAGTTAATGTCGACTTAGATTAGTCCCATTAGACAAACATTTACCTCGGGTCTAAAAGGTCTCCTTGGATGAAGCCATGGCTGTTGATAAGAATCCTTTGGCCAGGTTGGGTCGACTACCTCTGCTGACTAAGTAAACTAGGGACCATGATGGAACAATAGGATCTTGATCGAGTTTGTCGTCGTTTACCTCACCATCCGCTTTGAGCTCACAGTGATGATAATTTTATAATTTTAAAATTTTAAATTTGTTGCTACTATATGTTTAGTTTGGATACTTACCGCCCAATGACTATCCTTAATCGAAAGTGATCTCCCATTATCAGAAGGGGTAATTAACCATGCAGGCTTGCGCCTATAAAAAAACTCAAACTTCAGTCTTAAATTCCTCGCAAAATAAGGGTAAAATCTCTAAGTAGTATCTTATCTACAATCTCATTCACCTTCTAAATATTCAACCCGAAACTTCACAAACGCACCATATTGAGCTCTCGACGAGAGTCCGAGGCACTTTTCAAACTTTTGGAGCCCACAAGCATGCCCAAAACTTTTTAGGTCTACCTCTACATATTTTAACATAAGTAAAATCTAAAACAACCACTCTCCTAACTGGTTGACGTTTAATGTAACCAAATCATCTAAGACAACTCTCTCTAATTTTGTCCGCCACTAAGCTACAGCAATCCTTTCGCAGATATATTTGTTCTGCATTTTGTTGCTAAGTGTAAAGCCACTCATTCAACTAAGCATTCTTACCTAAGCAAAACATAACTTAATTTTACGCTTCTCTTTCATACGCCAACATTCTACGCCATAAAGCATTGCAGGTCTCACCACAAGCTTATAAAATTTTCCTTTAAATTTGAGAGGCACTCTTCTATCACACAACAGGCTCGATGCATTCCTCCACTTCAACCATCCAACTTGAATTCTACTAATAACATCTCCATCTATATCACCATCACTTTAAAAAATAGATTCAAGATATTTAAAACGTTCGCTCCTTTTAATAACTTGTTCACCGATTTTCACAATCCCGCCACTAGGTCTAGTACTACTAAACTTACATTCCAAAAAGATCAAAATGAAATTGATCTAAAATCACTAAGAAACTTATTTCAATAATCATAAGTTTGAATCAAAACCATCATTTATGAGAATAACAACGATATTCAGATACATGGCATATTTATTTCATTATAGTACACACATATTATATGACTATACTTATTTAATGCTACCAAAAGTCAAAAATTATCTATTACGGCTCTTCATAAAAGCTTCAAAATAATAGTAAATGGTTTTAAAAATCACGATACCCATTCTGATTTCTTATTAATTTTGGTATTAGATATTGATTGGGATCGAGGAGGCATCTGTAGCGTTGGATAACAAGATTAGTAAGCGATGTGTTTGTTATGCCTTCTCATTGGTCTTAATATTTTTGTTTCTTCACCGTTTGATTAAAGGAGACAGCACTGGAATATGCATAAACACAAATAACAAGAATACATGAGGTACAAAAATATCCATTATAAAAATCCAATATGATGATATGTAAAAAAAATGATTATATGGAAAACTGCTAATTACCAATAAAGAATATAGAAAGTATTTATGTTTCAGATGCAAACCTCAATCTCTTGAGCTCATTTGCTTCGTCAACAGAGCAACCATGAGTGCATCCAGAGAATGCTAGCATGTCCATTTCATACCTCAAGTGTAATGCTACATAAGAGCCCCTTTCTTGTAGAATTTTAATCAACTTATTCCCTAATGCTTCAATCTGAGGAGTGAATTTCAGAGCCTGATAATTAACACGACACCTAAGCTTCTGAAGATCAAGAGGAAGACCATTATTTGCCAGGCGTGCATCAGTCTTATTGAAGTGTATGACACTGTATTTATCGAAAAGTGGAAGAATCTGTAGAGTCAAATAGAACACGTACATTAGATTAAAAGCTATCATAATTAGGTTCGCCGGAAGCAAAACTAATCATCAATTTTGTTGTAGAAACAAGAATCTAGTTTCGATTTAGTTTCAAAATCTACAATTGCAAAAATATACCAGTCCAGTTTAAAAATCTTTGCAATCAATAACATAAGAAAAAAAGAAAGAATAAAATACATGGCTACAAAATGTTAGTAAGTTCAGACCTGCTTTATATAATAATGCTCATTCGACCAACTGACAGGAGGCATCTCAAGTATATTAATTGGTGCTTTGAATCTCTTTGGAATTCTCTTAACTATATGCACTTCATCCCTCAAAGTATTGATGAAATGGCTCACATCAAATATGTCTCCAAAGTTGCTTCAGAACCCAAAAAACAGTGATTTAATTTCAAAATATCGATCCAATAAAACATAAAAAAAAGAAAAATCATTCAGCCAGTAAGCAATACCTATTGTCTGCCCAAAACGATCTCTTATCAAGCTCTGGAACAACTAATGTTAGATTTAAAAAGCGGGCAACAGTAACCATGTCACATATCTGAAGCAGCCAATTTAATTGCAATGTTCAAAAACTTAGCATGATTATTAATCTTTTCTGTCGGCAATTTGAATTATGACAAAAAAAGTAATAAAGAAGATCAAGACCTCTGAACGCATCTGATTTAGACCTCCATTGCAAGATATTCTGAGAAAGCCATTGCTTTTATAGACTCCTGCATTTTGTTTATGTACTGTAGGCATTAGAAAACAGTTATAGAATAACCAACTCAAGCATTATCATAAATTTAATATTGCCAATTTTCATGGATTGATAAACAGTAATATAAATAACAAAAAAAAAAAAATCTTTACTCGTCAATCTTTACTCGTCAACTTCATTACCGTCAACTTCATTACCAAGCACCAGATTTGCATAAAATAAATCCAAAAAGTTCTCAAGAACTTAGAAGAAAAACCAGGTCATGTGCCATGATTGTGCTCATCGTCAAGCCAGCATGCTTTAGGAATAAGCAAAGTAAGAATTCATACTGCTTCAGCTTTATCATAAGGCACATGGAGCTTATAGCGTGCACCATTTTGCACTTATTCCATTTCATTCTTTATATTATAAAGTCAATTGATTTGATCTTCTTGTTCATCTCTGGGTTGCCTTTGAATGTTCCATGGCCCAAAATTTTAAATTTTCCAATGCATTTCAAATCTTTAGTTCATCAATTCCATAAAAACATAATTTCGACCCCACTTCACGTTTATTATAACTAAGAAATAAAGTATACAAACAATTTTATTTTTCCAATTTTTTTACATGGTGAAACCATACCATAGGATTCAAGAAATGTCATTCCTACGAAGAATCTTCTTCCATTTAAGAATCCTTCCAACATGAATGTGGATGTCACCTACTAATGACTTCAATTCTCCCCAAAAGCTCTCAAAATCCATTGACCGCCCTCTTATTACAGTAATCACATTCCTCTAATAAGGCGAGAGAAGGAAACAGTAGAAGGTTAAACGTCTTCTTAGAATAGAAAATCAAACTGTTACTTACTCAAAGGAACATACGGCGTAGAAGCAGGCACCGGGTCGCGAAGAGAGAAACTTGAAACCGCAGCATCATTTCCGAGACTGAGAAAAAACCTCACGGCCACCGGAAGCCGAGAATGGCCGCGCCAGAGATCACCGACGGCAACAAGCTGAGCTAAACAAGTCCACACGAGGACGCACGAACAAACCCTAACAAACCAAACCTGCAGCCGCACCCGCTGCAACGGCTGCAGCATCCGACGGCACTCCACCCGCCCCAGCGCTGCCAGAAATGAGATCGCCGTCCAAAGATCATCGACGCATTTCAATCCAAATCAATGCGATTAAAAAATCGCGATCTTGGGGAGAGAAAAAAATGGAAATTTGAAGCAGAAATTGGTAACTGTCCCACGAATTGGAATTGGGAATAACTTCCGTTTGGATCGGAGAGAACGACGGCCCGGAATTATGTCGGTGAAGCCCGGACCCAAAGTGCTAAAAAACACGACTTTGTTGGTCGAAGCGGAGGTAAGTGCTCGTACGCGGATCTTTACCGTCTTCGATTTGGGATTTTACAATCCAGGAAAGTAATAGTTGTTTAGAACCTCAGGTCTGCTTGTTGTAGTTAGGGGTGTAAACGAACCGAACACGAACGAACAAAGCTTGTGTTCGTGTTCAGTTCGTTAAAATTTAGTTTGTTTGAAATAAGCTTGTGTTCGTTTCTTAACGAACGAGCCGAACACGAACAGAACACGAGCTGTTTTATATAACTTATATTATATAAATATACAATATCTATATTAGTATATTACTACTACTATAGTATATTAATATATTATTATTATTATTTTATTATATATTATAATTTATAAAATTTAATGTTTTAAAATATAATAAATTTTTTATATATAATTATTTTATATTATTTTGTATTTCAAACAATAACGATTCGAACACGAACGAACGCATCACTGTTCGTGTTTGGTTCGTTTAACTAACCGAACGAAAAAAATTTGTTCGCATTTGTCTCGTTTACTTATCGAACGAATCGAACACGAACTCATTGACGAACCGAACACGAACTGTTCGCGAACAACGAGCTTTTTTGACAGCCCTAGTTGTAGTTTGTTAATATCAAAGTTCCTTCTTTTGTTTAATAAAATTAAGTGAAATTTACATACATACCGCATAATTCTTATGTATTTACATATATAACAAAATAAAATTTAAGATTTATATTTAAAACATTTTTGTTTTAAAACATGCATTAAAAGGGGTATTTTGTCTTTAAAAGATTAATAATACTGATATTTTTTTATGTAAAATTAAAAAAATTTAGTGGAATGTAGGTAAATATGAGATGCTAGAAATGTAAATATATAGGAATTGTGAGTTGTAAAAGAAAATGCCCCTACAAATAATGCTTCTTATGAAAAAAAACCTACTATAATTTAATATTATTCTTTAAGATCACATATCTCGCCCTAATTGTGATATGAACAATTTTAGAGTAATCAATTGAAGTGCTTAGTTTATGATCTCTATTCAAATTCAACTATTGATTAGGCTTGATGAATTAAATAAAGCACAACTTTTAGCTCTTGCCCATGACCGACAAGCCAACAGTCACAAGGATGAATAATTCAATGACTGAGATCTCTTTTACGAGTAACTACATATAAACGATAAAAAGAACAAAAAAAAATATTATATGTAAATTCATTTGCAATATCTTTTTTTTGTTCCTGCTATGCCAATTAGACTATTACAATCTTCCCCATAATAATCCTACAACAACTGTTAATACCTCTCTTATAAACAAAAAAGTGTGCGTCGAGTGCTCTCTTGGTAACATACCTATTAGCATCATATTTCTTGAGAAAGATAGTTATGAGATCTATTAAGCCAACATATTTGCTCACATAAAAAATTACATATGATTAGAAAAATAAAATGGTGAATGAAAAATTGTTTGGCCAATATTAACATACCTATTAGCATCATATTTCTTGAGAATGATATTTATGAGATCTATTAAGCCAACATATTTGTTCACATGAAAAAGCGCATATGATTAGAAAAATAAAATGGTGAAAGAAAAATTGTTTGGCCAATATTAAATCTTTTTAGAAAATAAAATTTTAAAATATTAGTCAAAATATGATGATGAGTGAGGGTAAAAAGAATAATCTTTTAAAATCCCAATAATTAATATCTAAGCTAAACTAAATAATTTTTGTAACAAATAAATTACGAAATTCCACTATATCTCCATTTGAAACTACAATAATGCTTGGATAATAAATAAATAAATAAATAAATGTCACGAGTTCTTATATACCAACCATCCAAGATATTAAATATACCAATATATATATATATATATATATTAATATCAATGAGACAAACAGATTTTTTTCATAGAACAAATAAAGGATCCATAACGGTATAAAAAACATAAATTGTACCAGACATCCAAAGTTTAGCCAAAAAGGACAAAAAAAACAAAAATAGAATTACAAAGAATAGCTATTAAAAGATGATTTGTCAAATGATATGGGGTCAAAACATAAATATTTTAAGGATCTCATTTAACACAGTATTTCTTATCCACCGACTCATCGTCATCATCTTCTTCAAATCCAGAATTATCATCTTCATCATTGGAATCATCATCATTACATTCCTTGTAATGATCATCATCAATCTTTATCAGTTACTTAGCGTTAGTGACTATTGAATCTTCAGATTCATTGCCAGTCTCACATTCTTCACTTTCAAATGTGCACTGCTTCTCTTTATTATCCTGCTCACAATCTAATAACAAAAACATCAAAATTTGTGCAAAAGTACATCAAATTCACTAAATTGTAAAACTTAAGTCATTATATATGTATATAGCACTCCGTTGAGTATTTAATTGTTAAACTATATTAATTATACAACAATTGTAATTCTCGGGTATGGTAAAAGCTTAAAATACAATTTTGGTAGAAAAAAATTGGACTATAAGTGTTTATTTTTTAACCCTTTTATGTACTAAATAAATAATGCTTTGACAAAAGAAAAAAAGAAAAAAAATTGCTTTATAGTATCACCAAACTAAAAGAACATATCTTGTCTAAATTTTTTGGTATATTATTTCGCCTTTTCTTAATTTTGTCATCATCACGACATAATTTTGTTTTGCTCTTCTAATGGTTAACTATTTTGCATCTTAGAAACACTTTATGAATATTTGTTGACTTTAGGTCTACATTTCAATGATTTTCAGTTGTAACTAATATAATTTTGAATTTCTAAGGGCTCTTAGAGAAAAAAGGGTCCAGGTTAAGGTCAAAGCCTTTTCGGATGATTTTATGCGATCGAACAGTCAGTATTTTTTCTCAAATTATTGTTTACTAAACAAAATAAATTTCTTATTTGAGCTTTAAAATAATTTTTGCAGGCCACAATCGGACTTTGAAAGCTTCCTCAACATTGGAGTGTGGCTCAACAAACATTGCAAGCATCCATAATATTTGAATAAAAAAAATAAATAAATAAAATAAACTCAGCTTCTGAGTTATACATGAAAATTAGACAATTTTTCAATTATAAATAATATTTTTGTTGTAAACTATGCATTATTTTGATTGACGTTCCAGCATTAACTTTTATTTTAAAGATGCATCATTTTTATTGTCAATAATTATATTATTTGTATTTATAAAAATTTTATATTATTTGCTAATAATTAATTTTTTTGCATTTATTATCTAATTTGTTATCTTTATTACATATTAGGCTTTTCGGACTTGATAATGCGCTCAAAAAACAAAGAGTATACTTCTTCTTAGTTTGTTTTTTGAGAAATAGTAAAAACTCTGTAAGAGTCAATATCTTAAAGGAACGTTCCGATGTTATAAGGAGAAGATGTCAACCAGAAAATAAGGCTAAGATGTGAAACACATTTGCATAACTTGTCCTGCTAAAGATGAGTTCTTCACAACATTGATAGCTCAAAGGTGGATTAAGCAATTCACGCCAAACAAAACAGCATCATTCAAAAAAGGTAAAGCTGTGTAACAAGAGTCGAATCAATATATGTGAATCAAATGTAAAAATAAATACCCAAACTTTACGTACCTTAGATTTTTTTATTTTTCCAGTCAGACGGCCGCTTTTATTAAACGCAGGCAAAAGCATCCCGCAATTAGAGCAGCAGCTGCCACAAGCGACCAAAACAATAAAAGAAACCAAAAATTAACACACAAATTATCGCAACATACATACATATATATACAGACCAACAAAAGGCTTTCGAGGTGTGAAACAAAAGAGAACGAATAGAAATTCTTACTTGCAATCCATAGCGGGCAAAGATTTCTGGTATACCTCACAGTGGCTGCACCATTGGGCTGCAAATTCATCCCTGCAAATTCAATCAAACAACTATCAACAAAGGAATCAATCATATTATTTTGAATAAGTTGACGCATTACATTCTTGATTGGAAGCGTCAAAGATCTCTTTGGGAACGTTGCAGGCCAAAAGAACCGAAGAAAAACCTTTATAGATTATGCACGATGATGACAGTTGTGTTAGCGGTGATGAGATTTTCACGGGAAAAGTTAAGGTAACTAATTTAGGTAAGGATTTAACCTAAATAAAGCATCAAATTTGATGAACCCGGATTTCACTCATAAATCCTGAAGGAGAGAGTTTTGGATCATTAAAAGAGGACAAATATAGACGGTAATATTTATAAAAACATAATTTTGATTTATATTTTTAGAAATAAAGTATTTACGTTATATTACTATTTTTAGTTTTTACTGCCCTATTTTTGTTAGATAAGATTGATTTTTATTTATATATAAATGTTATAATATTTGAAATTGAATGATATATTCTATTATTTTCTTTGAGAGATCCAGTTATCCTATCTTTGATAGTTTATATCATAATCAAATAACATCATGATTATTCTCTTTTCTTCCACTAATTATTTCTATTATTGCATAGCTATTTAAGGTTCACATGAAATAATTCTAAATATTTAATAAAATATTGCATATTTTAATAAAAAATTCAAATATTTTAAATTTTTAATCATTAAAGCGAAAATTAAGGAAGACATTCATAATATTAAGTATACAAATTATGGAAAATCCAAAACTTTAATATTGTATTTACCAAGTCAAAGGAAATAGCGTGATTTTTTATAAATTATTTTAATCAAGGTTGATTTTATTATTTGATTTATTTGAATTTAGAACATAGTAATTCTAATTTAATCAACTAGATTCATATCAATAATAAAATAGATTCAATATTTAAAGTACAGTCAATATTATTGGTATAATAATCCATGAAATAATTATATTGTAAAATTTTAATTATTTATTATTTTTTTCTTTTCGGATTATATTTTATCTTTAACTAATTATTTACAAATATTTAATTAAATATTTTTCTTCATCATATAACCCTTTTAATAATAGGGGGGAGTGTGTGTTTGTAATTTTAAAAAATTAACTAAAATTTATTTATCACTCAGATTTTCTTTGTTTTATTAAAATAATAATACCTGAC